CTTGCGCATATGTATATGGGTAGAAGAAGTTGTTCGAAATGGAGATGGTGGTTAGCTTTGGAGAAGTGTTGGTGCCAACCATGCACCACCTTATTAATCCATAGGATGGGGGTCCTGTCCTTGATGGGTTGACTTAAGAAACGAATGTGTAAGATGGCTCTGCTTTTCAACGCTTTGCTGTTTTTGAATCATGGCCTATGATTGCAGGCTTTCGTATCCCAGCAACCAAAAGAAACAAAGAGAGTGATGCCTCCACCATAAATAAGCCACAGCTAGCATTCGAGCTGGGGAAGAAGAAGGTTTGGGTTTGGATCTCGTAGGAGGAGTGGGTCGAGCTGGGGTCGGGAGGAAGTAAGGGCAGGGCAGGGGGTGGATTGGGCTGGGGCCCAGGGGCTGATACACTAGGAGAAGGATGATTCTCAATGGACTTAGGAGAGGTTTGGGGTTTGGGTGAAGAAAAGGGTGGTGGCCCATGGACGGTGAGAGTGGGAAAAGGAGGGGGGCTTATTGTGCACAGGAGAGGTATGGTTACATTGACCTTGATTATGCAATATCATTTTCACAATATCATGTAATATCATTATAGGTGATAGTAGGGTTTGATAGCGGTTAACAGTTATCGCCAATTAGTGATGAGAGTAGAACTTGAATCCGCGGGTATTCTACTCGATCCAGTTCAGTCAATCTGGGTAAAGTCTGCTTTGATGGTTGTGGGCCGGATTTGTGTTTAAACTTGCTATATTCTTTGCGGGTTGGATTTGTGTTTAGCCATATCCAACCCGTGGATACCCAGCGAGTTGGGTTGGATTTGAGTTTTCAAATTCAGTGGGTTTTACCCCGGATTTTTGGTGGATAAACCCATAGATTTGGGTTTGGCATAACCCACCCCATTGCTAACCCTATCGGCAATCGAAAAATCATTACTATTAGTCGAACCACCAAGATTTAGCAGTTAACTATTAATTAACACACACTTTCTCTCTCTCTCTCTCTCTCTCTCTCTCTCTCTCTCTCTCTCTCTCTTCCTCTGCATATCAAAAAACGAATACTCTCCCTCGGTGAACCAACAAACAGAAGAGAACACAACTCATATTCTCCTTCACCATCAATAGTCAAACCCCATACGCTACCATCTCTTCCTCTTCTCCTCTCTTCTCCCTCCAAGTAAAATAGCGGAGGAGGGCTAACGACAACAACAATATCAGGGTCGTCCACCATCACTTCTCCCTCTTACTCATCCTCTTGTCGATCTGATGAGGAAGCCACTAGAGAGCGTCCATGGCCCAATGGGAATCGACTCATGTTTCCCAGCACAGCCTTGCCGACTAGCCTTCATCCTTTGTTTCAACCGAGAAGATGAGGAGATTGAAGTCAGTGAGTGTCGAGTGCTGGGGGGGATCGTTTCCTTGGTTGAGAGTGGCTTTATGCCTATTTTGGGTGGTTAATAACCTTTATCGGTTATTAATCGGTTAACCTCAAACCATCTGTTATTAATCATTTATGGCTTGGTAACCCGATAAAAAAATTTCAACTTTCTCTAAACGACCTACATTCTTCTTAGCGGTTAATGGTTTGACCATTAACCGTCAGTTAATTATGCGGTTAACGGTTCAACCGTTAACGAATAACCGTTCATCGCCCCTAAATATCAGGATATATCTTACATTGTGGACACCAAACACAATCAAAATGATTTCCATCAATCTGTTAAAGTCAAGACTGCAAAGAAGGCTATCCGGAAGCTTGTTTTGGATTCAGGAGAGGAGCTTACTGATGTCAAGCTTATAGCTGAGGAAGCAGTCCTGTTCTATCAGTCACTGTTTGGGAAAGTTGATCAGGCAGTTAGTCTTAACAAGTTGGAGTTGGAGGCTCTTGTCACTAAATTCTTATCTAAGGAAGAAAAGTCAATGCTGTGTGGGGACTTTACCTCTGATGAGGTTAAGTCAGTGATCATGCACATGAATCCACATCAAGCTCCTGGGCCTGATGGTTTTTCTGCTGGTTTCTTTCAGAAATCATGGTCTATTATTGGAGGGGACATCACAACTGCAGTCCTGGATTTCTTTTCTACTGGCAGACTGCCAAGTAGTGTCAATTCTACTGCTGTTTCACTCATACCTAAGGTAAACTCTGCCTGTAAGCTCAAAGATTTTAGGCCCATTTCGTGTGTCAATATTCTCTACAAAGTCATTGCTAAGCTTCTATCTAATAGATTAAGGAAAGTGCTTCCAACTGTTATAAGTAGCAATCAGTCAGCTTTTATACAAGGAAGAAGAATAGTGGATAATATCCTTATGGCTCAAGAATTGGTTAGTAGTTATAGTAGGAAGAACCTCTCTTCTCACTGTGCTATTAAAATTGATTTGATGAAGGCTTTTGACTCGGTTAATTGGGATTATCTATTCTTAATGATGGAAACCATGGGATTACCAACAAAGTTCATGTATTGGATAAGACTCTATGTTAAAACCTCCCGGTTTAGTATCTGTATAAATGGAGGACTTTGTGGTTTCTTTGAGGCAAAGAGGGGGGTAAGGCAGGGGGATACCCTCTCCCCCTACCTATTCACTATTGCAATGGAGGGCTTATCATCATTGCTTAACAGAGCTGCTGTAAGGAAAACCTTAGTCTACCATCCACAGTGCAAAAACATAGGGTAAACCCACTTATGCTTTGCAGATGACCTTCTTATTTTTACAGAGGGATCTGCACAAGCAATATGTAGAGTACAAGAGTTGTTGAATGAATTTTATTCCCTATCCGGTCTTAAGTGTAATCCAAGTAAATGTGAAATTTATTTTGGGGGACAATATGGCCTTTACAAGAGCAATGCGCTTCAGTTGTCTGGGTTCCAGGAGGGAAAACTTCCAGTAAGGTACTTGGGGCTCCCACTATTCTCTGGGAAACTTTCTTCTGCTGACTGTGATAAGCTGGTGGAGAAGATTGCTCACAAAATTGGGACCTGGCGTGCAAAGCAGCTGAGTTATGCAGGTAGGCTTGAATTGATTAATTCAGTCTTCATGGGCTTGTTGCAGTATTGGATGCAAGTGTTTCTCTTGCCTAAGAAGGTACTAATGAAAGTGTATGTTGTTTGCTCGAATTTTCTTTGGCATGGGGGAAGGAGGGCAGAGCAAAAATAGGATGGGATAGATTGGCTCGACCAAAAGCTGAAGGTGGCCTTGGAATCAAGGACCTCCTAGCTTGGAACAGGGCCTGCTCTATTAGAATGGTCTGCCTTTTAATGATGAAGAGTGGCACAATTTGGGTGGCCTGGATGTGGAGCTACAGGGTCAAACAAGGTAGTGTTTGGACTATGAGTGTGAGTCCAAGTAGTTCGTGGGCATGGAGAAGGGTCCTAAAACTCAGACCACTGCTTCAGGCTCATTTGACAATGTCTGGTGATATTCATAGTTGGGATGGTAAGTTGATGCATGTATATAAAGTGTCCACTGTGTGGAATTCTTTGAGAACTGAATATGAAAGAGTGGACTGGGCAAAACTGGTATGGGGAAAATGACACCTACCTAACAACAATTTGCTTGCATGGCTTGTCTTATTGGATGGTATTATTACTAGGGATAAGCTGTTAAGATGGGGTAAGACAATGGATGGTTCCTGTTTACTTTGCAGTGGCTCGGTTGAAACTAGAGAGCATATGTTCTTTCAGTGTGCTTACTCTATGCAGGTTGTTTCATGCTGGAGAGAGGGTCATTTGTTGTGTAGACCAAGTTGGAAGGGAGTGTGCAGGCTGCTATTGATCTGAACAAGAAGGGGACTTCGGCAGGGGGACTTGCAGGGATTTTCTGGTGTGCTTGCATTGCTTATCTGTGGCGTGAGAGATGCAACAGGCAGCACCAACTGCCTCCCAGGGATGCTGCTGTTCTTGGTAGACTGATAGTTTCGGATTTATTGTATTTGGGTAGTGTGGATAGCAATTTACAGGCAGACCTAAGTGCTGCTGGGTTTTTATGAGTTGAGTTGGGGGGGGGGGGGGTTTCTGCGTAGACAGGTGGGAGGGTCTTTGAGGGTTTGTTTTCTGCAGGGTTACTCACATCGAGTGGCCCTTTTCGTTGTATCAGTCTCTATATGTACATTGCATATAGTTTTGGTAATACAATTGCAACTGATTCAACGAAAAAAAAAAGTGATTTTATTGAAAATACTATTTAGTACGCATCTATAAACAAAAGTATTATGAACATTCCATACCGAAAACTCCGAATGAATGTATTTCCTTATTCTCGGAAAATCTTTCAATGACAGCTCAACGCGCTTTGACTGGTATATTCTCGTGAACAGCGATTAATATAAGTACCATAAAAAAATTAATGAAATAAATTTATTTTGTAACTGAAATTTGCTTGCCTAATTAATTTTTGTTTTTCTGAAATTAAAATTCAAATCAATTGAGACCACAATCCTATAAAAATAATTCAAATCCTTAGTAATCTAAACAAGATTATCAGATTCAATTGCAAAAAAAAAACAAAAAGAAGAGTTTCCTTCACTAAAATTATCCAACCGTATTTATTTGGTCCTTAGCAGAATATGAGCTGTACCAGATTTTTCTAGGGACCAGAACCCTTTTCTTCCATCGCTTTTCTTGTGTTCCCCCTTTTTCTTTTATATTTTAAGCAAATAAAAATTTATCTCGACTCTCTACTATTGGCCTTTGCTTCTGCTGCATGGCTGCAGTTTGTTCTCTCGTGCTGTCACTCCTTCTCCCTCCGTCCTTTCTCCTTTCCCTCTGCCAGCCAATTTTCCTGTGTTCCCCTTTCCTTTCCCTTCGTCGCCCTGTAAGATTTTTCTGATTCTCTCAATTTTTTTTCCCAGCCACCGAGAAGAGAAGAGAGAGTGGGAGTCAGCGCGCGGCTGGAAGCCACAATCCAAAACCTGGCCCAAAATATCGCGCTCCGCTTAACTGCTGCAACTTGCTTCCCTTTCCCCTCCCCCACCACCACTGTCCTCGCCACATCGCCATCACCATATATAACCCAATCCAACGACAGAGATCCCTTTCCCTCTCTCTCTCTCGCTCTCCACATTCCCCGTTAACTTCCCCCTGGTAGTAACCGTTTCTTATTCTTCGCGTTCACAATCCGATTCTCTACAGTGATTGGAATTCCGATCAATGCTAGCCAACGTCGCCGCCGCTCGCCGGTGATTCTTTCTTCTTTCGTCGAAGCAGGATCAAGAAAGCATTCTTTGAGAACGACCGGTAGGCAAGGTGTTTGCTAGATTGCGTCAATGGCCGCCTCAAGACTCGCATAAGAGAAAGCTTCTGTCTCGACGTGTGAGTATTTGTTCTTTCTCTTGCAATGTCAATCAATCCAGTGGGAAATATCACTTCAGAATTTGGCGTTGGTTCTCTCTGATTCATTCTTCAATCTTGTTGTTGAGAAGGATCAAGTGAGCGCTCGGGAAAGGCGAAAGAACCGTTCGCGACTGTGTTTTCGCGCTCGGACGGCCTGCAGGGAAAGTGTTTGCTTTATTGTGTCAATGGCCGTCTGAATTCTAGCAGAGTCTGATAACAACTAACGTCTCTACAGGGTAGGTTTCTTTTTCTTCGTCTTCTTCTTGCAATGACATCCAATTCTCTAGACTTTGATTCACAATGTGCTAAAGATTGCAGAGTTTTCTTTGTTTGTTTGCTTCTTTCTTGTTGGTTCGGTCCAGAAACAAAGCGCATGCCAGGGAATAATTACTGTCCGAGTCCTACCACGCCGAGAACAAGACTAGAGAGGCTTCTGAGGGATAGAGAGCTTCGGAAATCCAGCCGAGTTTCCACTCCCTCTGAGGAGATAGGAGATACTCTATCGGAAGCCGATTTCTTCTCCCAGGATTCCATTCTATCTTGCCAACTAAGCGACGAGCAGCAGGATTTCGAAGGATTGTTGGAAGGTTCTCCTCCGCAAGATGTGCGGCCTCGTAAACAAAGATTGCTGGTGGTTGCCAACAGGCTCCCCGTTTCTGCAACTCGGATGGCTGATGATGCGTGGCATCTTGAGATCAGTGTGGGCGGCTTAGTCAGTGCACTTTTGGGTGAGTCTTTGAAATTCATATTCAATGCCTCTTTTTCTTTTTTGTACTTTTCTGCCTATTGGTCCCAAGTTGTTTTGACTGCTACTTGTTAATTGTCCTTTTGAAGGGGTGAAGGAGTTTGATGCCAGGTGGATTGGCTGGGCCGGTGTGCACGTACCTGATGAAAGTGGACAGAAGGCACTAACTGAAGCATTGGCCAAAAAGGTTTTGGAAAAAAAAGGCTAATATAATATTGTATCTCTTCAAGATCGTAAGCTTTTTCTTGTTTTGCTCTTCAATCTGGGTGACTTTTCTTTTGATGGTTGCAGAGGTGCATCCCTGTTTTCCTTGATGAAGATACTGTTCACCAGTACTACAATGGCTACTGCAACAATGTCCTGTGGCCTCTTTTCCATTATCTGGGTCTTCCCCAAGAAGACAGACTCTCGACGACCCGTAGTTTCCAGTCCCAGTTTGATGCCTACAAGAGGGCGAATCACATGTTTGCCGATGTTGTGAACGAACATTATGAGGAGGGAGATGTCGTTTGGTGCCATGATTACCATCTGATGTTTCTCCCCAAGTGCTTAAAAGAGCACAATAGCAAAATGAAGGTTGGGTGGTTTCTCCACACGCCTTTTCCTTCATCGGAGATACATAGGATGCTGCCATCACGTTCAGATCTCCTGCGATCCGTTCTGGCTGCTGATTTAGTTGGGTAAGTGGACCATGTAATGGGCATGGAGTTTCCTTTAGTTACTACTCCTGAGATGTGATTTATAAGCAGTTCATAAGGCTTTGCTGGAGTTGCCCCTACTCCATCTGTGGGGTGATGTGGTCATATGCTTAATCCTGTTTTTCCATGACCTCAATATAAGCAAGCTTAGTATAATCTTTAAGAATGTATTCTGAGTTCTTATTTCTGATGGCTTGGATGGTACGTTATGTTCCAGGTTCCACACTTATGATTACGCAAGGCACTTTGTCAGTGCATGTACTCGCATCTTGGGGCTTGAGGGGACACCTGAAGGAGTAGAAGATCAGGGGAGGCTTACTCGTGTTGCAGCGGTATGCTCAGATCACCTTTGTTTTTCTTTTCTTTACGTTCTGTTCTTGCACGGCTTGTGAAAGTGTTGTTTGAATGAATAGGTTTAGTCAGCTCATGCATATTTCTCTCCAATTTCCTCATTTTCCCTCATTTTGCCACATGTTTCTTCGTGGGAGATCCAAACAACAGTTCCCTATTGGGATAGATTCAGATAGATTCATCCGAGCTCTAGAGCTTCCGAAAGTCAAGGAGAGTATGAAAGATCTGAAAGAAAGATTTGCTGGCAGAAAGGTTGGAGTTTCTTTTCCATTTTCGAGAACATACTCTGTCTAAGTGTTTCATTTTAGTTTCATTTATAGAGTTCTTTTGTAATCTGTCACCTTTGTGGCTCTGTAGTTGATTGTTACTAGCCTATGTCGAGAAAGTACTGTTGAAAAAGGAATATTGTTACTAGTTCCCTCTTGGAATGTTGATTGAGTTATAATACGACTGGTAATGTTACTAGGTTTCACTCTGATCGGAGATAGTACTTTTGAACAATGGACAGTTAATGTTAGGTGTTGATCGTCTTGATATGATCAAAGGGATACCCCAAAAGATTTTGGCATTTGAGGCTTTTCTGGAGGAAAATCCACAATGGCGTGAAAAAGTAGTGCTTCTGCAAATTGCTGTGCCCACAAGAACAGATGTTCCTGAGTGTGAGTTCCCTTCCTCTTATTTTCATTCTACTTACTTGTTCATGTAAACCAGCCAAAATGTATACTTATAAGATGAAATGTGTTGTTGCACATGTTTCCTTGACAATTAATCTACAGAACTCCTTGGTCAAGTGTAGAACCATCTTTCCTTGACAATTAGTCTAACGCATTTTACTTATCTAATTATAGATCAAAAGCTTACAAGCCAAGTTCATGAGATTGTTGGACGCATCAACGGAAAATTTGGGACCCTTACCAGTGTTCCAATTCACCATCTGGTTTGTCTTTGTTCTTCTACTTAATAGCTGGATAATCTTCTATGACCTCTTTGAATTGGTTGCAATGAAGGAACCTGATGTTTGATCACAATTCACATGAAGTAAAATAAAATGGCCTTCCCAGGGCGGATTGGGCAAAATATACTGTACTTTTTACCTGTAATCATTTGCCGTAGTTACTACTGTCTTGCTACTCTGCTAAGATTGAGCCTCTATCTGGTGTGTCAAGTTTTGCTTCTTAATTGAGATTGATTCTTTTGCCTAACAATGGCTTAAGTTTCTGCATATATTCCAACATAAATTTACTTTGACCAGCAGTATAGTTATACACTTATTCTTGTTCTGTTCTGCATACTTGTCATATTCATGTTACATAGTTTTCCCCTTGTAATTTTTTGGGAACATGTTTAAGTTTTAGCCTTTTGTTCTCTCGTGTTCTTTGTCAATCTTTCCAAATCACTTTTCTCTTGTTGACAGGATCGATCACTTGACTTTACGGCTCTATGTGCACTATACGCTGTTACGGGTACAGATTTACATGGGCTCTCAGAGCTCTTATCCTAATTAAAGCCATGCATCGATGATTCGGAATAGTTGTAACCCAACTTTTGGTGATCTTTTTGCATAAGAGCTGCTCTTGCTAGCAACATTGACAGATTTGCTGTATTTTATTTCTAGATGTGGCACTTGTTACGTCATTAAGGGACGGAATGAATCTTGTCAGCTATGAGTTCGTTGCTTGCCAGGCTGCCAAGAAAGGGGTCCTCATTTTAAGCGAGGTAATTAGACTTCCTAGTTTGGCAATTATATCTGTACTTGCAATTGTTGAGAGGACATTAAACCACTAAAATGTCACGCATCTGCAAAGCAAAAATTTGCTAAGTGTTTTTTTGTTGTCTTGGTTGCTTGGTATGGTTATATTCAAAAGTTTATTAATCATTTGATTGCTGAAGTTCATGAGTTAAGACGATGTTTTTTGTGTATTCAGTTTGCAGGAGCAGCACAGTCGCTTGGAGCTGGAGCACTTTTGGTCAACCCATGGAATATCTCAGACGTTGCTACATCGATTCGTTATGCTCTGAATATGTCAGAAGATGAAAGAGAGAAGAGATTCCACCACAACTTCATGCATGTGACGACTCACACATCACAAGAGTGGGCTGCAACCTTCGTCAGGTACTCATAACATTTCTTGCCTTCTATACGATCTCCCCATCTTGCACTTACTTTTAGGATGAAACTGAAAAGAACGGTTGAATTCAGTGTTTGTCAATCTTTTACCTCTTTAGTCACAGCGGTTGCAAGATTTTACTTGTAAGATGATTTTAGTTCTGGCAACCACCTTAGTGTCTTGAGAAGTCTATTTCTCTGCCTTGCTCTCCGACAGCTACTCATTGGCCAAAAATATTTCTCATGCGGAATCTCGTTGGTGTAGTGAACTGAACGACACTGTGGTTGAAGCACAGCTAAGGACAAGGCAAGTGCTTCCTGTCCTTCCAATCGACACTGCAGTTTCCCGCTACACCTGCTCCCACAATCGCTTGCTTATACTGGTAAATGCTCATCTCATCTCTTACATTGCTTCATAGATTTTGAATAACAATCAGTAATGTATCCATTTTCTCCCCCCAGGGGTTTAATGGAAGTTTAACCGAACCAGTAGACTCTTCTGGTAGAAGAGGTGGTCAAATTAGAGAGCTGGAACCTAGACTGAACCCTGAACTGAAAGAACCTTTGAAGAAGCTGTGTGGTGATGAAAAGACGACTGTCATTGTCCTCAGCGGAAGTGATCGATCAGTCCTAGATAATGTATTCACCCTGCATCTCTAAAACTTGATCCTTTTTCCCTCGTGGACCACATTATGCTGCCTCTAATTCAGCGGAAATTTTGTGAAGCAGAACTTCGAGGAATTCAATATGTGGTTAGCAGCAGAGAATGGGATGTTCTTACGCCTTACGAGTGGAGACTGGATGACAACAATGCCCGAAAATCTCAACATGGACTGGGTTGACAGCGTAAAGGTTGACATTTACTTGAACCTGAAATCACCACTTCGTTTCGCCACAAACTATAGAGAGGGCAAAGGCCCTTTTATTGAATCTTCAAAAACCCTGATGCTTATTCATGATTTCAGCATGTTTTCGAGTATTTTACAGAAAGGACGCCTCGATCCCATTTCGAGCTCCGTGAAACTTCACTAGTTTGGAACTACAAGTACGCAGGTAAACAGCCCTTCTCCTTATCTCCTTGATTTCATCCCCCCTCTTTTTTCTCTTCCATCTTAAGCTCACCCATCTTCTTCCTGCTTTGGCAAATATTCAGATGTTGAGTTTGGAAGGCTGCAAGCGAGAGACTTGCTGCAGCATCTATGGACCGGCCCAATCTCAAATGCTGCCCTTGATGTCGTCCATGGAGGCCGTTCGGTGGAGGTTCGAGCTGTTGGTGTTACAAAGGTAAATCTTTGAAGCCCAGCGGTTGCCTGCTCCTTGGATTTTTTTTCACACAATAACCAAGTAGTTTCTTCCTTCCTCCCTTTTCAGGGAGCAGCCATTGATCGCATTCTTGGGGAAATAGTGCATAACAAAAACATGAAGGCACCCATTGACTACGTCCTCTGCATCGGCCATTTCCTCAACAAGGTACGTAAAGATTTGAATGAAACGATCACCTTTGTATTGAACGTGAAAGGATGCTCCTAACCGGATGACAACTTGTATTCAACGGTGTATTCAGGATGAAGACATTTACTCATTTTTCGAGCCGGAGCTGCCGGCGATGACACATATATCGTCACGGGCCACTTCCCCTGACCCTTACGGCTACGCTAGCCGGGGGTCCAAGCCCAAGTTGCCAGGAAGCAGAACGCCCAAATCACAGGCCCACTTGATGAAGCAGCGGTCATTGTCAACCCTGGAGAGAAGTAATTTTGGGACGTCCAGTTGGCGGCAGCTGGGCAGAGACGACAGAGCCTCGTCGGCGTCGGCGTCGGCAGATGGTGCGGCGGCGTCGTCGTCGTCGTCATCGTCTCGCGGCCATGAGGGTTCTTCCGTCCTGGATCTGAAGGGCGAGAACTACTTCTCCTGTGCTGTCTCCAAGAAGCGAACCAACGCCAGGTATCTGCTTCGGTCTTCCAGCGACGTCGTGGAGCTACTGAAGGAGCTCGCTGATACGGTGCCGTAGCCATGTGGTGGGATGGTATAAGTTTTGGATTTTCGGCTTCGCATCGAATGTATGTGTTACAATATTATAGATCCATTTTAGGTTAGGTCATCTGATAATGTCGTTTACATTCACTGCCTGGCAAAATGGTTTTGACACCAAGTAGAATAGAATCTTCGAAAATTTCAACTATTTTGTAGAGGTTGCAGTGGAGTTTCTAATCAAGCTCTTGCACTTTCAGTAACTATTCAAAGGGAAGTGAAAAAAGTTGCAGAGTAAAATGCATAGCACGGAGGACAAACTAAAACCAAGAATATAGTTTGGTTTATCCATAACCGTGAATTCATAAAAAAAAAAACTAGAGTCATAATCATTTATATTGGTTTTGGTTAATCATAAATCATAAGTCATGATAAAATATCTGGATTCATTTGACAATTCTAATGGAAAATGAAAATGAACTAATATAGATAAGAGAACATTTTTTTTGCTGCAAGATGGACATCCAATTTCTACTTGGATAGGTCGGTCTCCTCTTTTAAGTTGACAAAAACACCAATGCATAGTAAAAATCAAGGCGGGTGCAAGAAATGACACACATGTCTTTAATATTGTTGAAGAAATACTATAAATTATAACTCAAAAGCAATGGAATGAAGCGAACCTCAATATGAAAAAACGCGATAGTGTCCATATTATGCTGCTAATAAACCCCATCAAAATCGAGTTAATTAGTTTTATGTCAAGGAAGAATAACGAGGACCTGATTGTAAGTTTTGTAATAGTTGTAGGATCTTATTGTAACGTTTATTTACTTTAAGTCTTTAAGTACCGCATAGGACATTTAGGTTGATATATTAATTGGAATATAAATAATAAATATAATTTTTTCTATTCTCTGAAATATAATTCTAATGGATATGAGAATTCTCGCCTTCACATCATGGTATTAGAGCAGAAAATTTTGTGTTTTTGATTGATTTTCTTACTGATTTCAAGTTTCCAGAAAGTGTGAATCATCTTGATCCGTTTTCTTCCAACCTTGCCTTCCAAATTTGGGTTTTCAGCCCATTTGTCGTCTTTGACTAACGTGTTCTTCCCTCTGTTGGAGGTGTTTCTTGTTCTGCTCGATCTCACCAATAGACTTTCATGATTCAATTTAATTTTGTTGCTTTCGATGTTTGCTAGTCGACTTTATCGTTAGTTGCCTTCTCAATCTCTATTCGTCTCTCTAATTGACGATCTCTCCGCTGCTCCGTTCGTCTTTCTCGACAGATAGCTACTCCGTTGATTTTCAATTACGTTGGTAATTAGTATTTTGGATGATTTCTACTCAAATTGGGCTTCAATTGAAAAGACCTCATATTTAGCCTCTTGATGACGTACTAATGCCCTGAAGTTTGAGTTCTTTACAAAAGAACCGTTAAATTATTATTAATATACTTGAACCCGGATAAGTTAGTTAAACATGAGATGAGATGGGCTTAGATAGTGTCACTTCCCCTATGAGGGTTGTGACACTACAAAAAAAGGGAGCTATACCAAGGGTTATGTAGCAAGGGTTCGATTAACCCCTGGTAATATTTTACAAACTCATTGTACTGGGGGTTTATACCAAGGGTTTTGCAACCCCTGCTATAGAGAAACTCTCTTTCAATACCAACCCCCATTCTTTCACGATAGAAAAATCCCTTTCTCAAAAAAAAAAAAAAAATCTTAAATCTGCCCACCGTCGATTTTTTCTTTTGAGTCCGACTCCCAGCTCGGCATTGTCGCCGGATCTGCCCGCCGCCACTCCATTTCTACTTTCTTCTCTCCGATTTGTGAAACCGGTACGTGGCAGACGGGCAATGGAGCAACCAAACTTTGAACTGACTGGTGGCCATCGAGGAATGTATTGAGTTCATCAACCACTCCTCTACTCTGCCTCGATCCAAATCTGTCTCCGTGTAAACCCAAATCTTGCAGCGATCGAGTAGAATTGAATTATTTCGAAAACCCAGAAGAAGAATCTAAGCACCAAGCTTCTGCCAGCAAGCGAGAGAGAGAGAGACCATCTTCAAACATCCGGTTTCAGTTTTCATCGGGAAGCAAAGTCCACTAAGGAGCACCAGATGCAAGAGATGATATAGGGTTTGTCATTTACTTGTTACAGATTTCCTGGTTTGTCATTCCACAAAAAAAAAAAGTATAAACAAGGACATTAGGTGATATGGGTAAGGCTGGTGTTCACTATGTGTCAGTGTTGACTTGATAAACCAGAAATGAATTGGGTGAACACTCTGTCTCTTTATTTATGAAATTGGTGTTTTTTTTACATGTGGCAATGGTTTTGTTCATGTCCTGGTACTTCTTTTCAGAACGACTACAAACTCTGAAGGTGTGAATTACGGGAAGTAAATCTTGAATTAATTTGTGGCTCGGCACTTAGGCATAGAACTTTCAATTTATGTTTTCTAGAACCCTTTTGATGCTGGTCTGCTGGACCCTAATTTGCTACTTTAGCATTGGTTACAGCCTAAATGTATTACTTTTGATGTAGGGAGCTGTATAAGAACAACCTGCATGGGACTATCCCTGCTGAGCTGGGTAAGTTGAAGAATCTGATCAGTTTGGACCTGTACAACAACAACATAACAGGGACAATTCCTTCTTCACTGGGAAAATTGAAGAGTCTTGTGTTCTTGTAAGTTCAAGCAACTTTCATGTCTCTGGATATGAATTTGTTCTTCAACTTCTTTCGCAATGAACTTAATGAGGCTTGTGATTTGAAGTATTTGGTTCAAGCTTTATTGTGTTCCCGTATGGCATGTACTGTTGTTGAGCCTTCTTCAATTAGCTTCACTTTCTGTCTTTGTTGGGTTATACTGTTATTGTAGATAATGGGCATTGTGCATTTAACAATGTTTCGGTTTCCATTTTTGCAGCTGTGAGTTCCTTTTTCAGAATGGACAAGAGTTGGATGAAAAAGCATAGAACAAGTGTTGAATATAGAGACGGAGTGCAACTTTTTCTGGATTATGCATTTCGAAATGTTTCACATGTATCAAAGGTGTTGTGTCCTTGTGTCAAGTGTGCAAATGTTCATGCACAAACATATGATGATATTCGAATACATCTCATTTGTGATGGTATTCTAAGAGGGTATACAACGTGGGTTTTTCATGGAGAAACTTTCCAAGCTAGTGATGTTGCCACTTCTTCTTCCTCAAGGACAAATGTTTCAACTATGGGTATGGAGAGAGTATCTATTCCTATTCAATCAAACCCACCAATGAGAGCAGATTTGAGGGGGTTGCTTCGTGATGTCTTTCGCCGTGAAGATCTAGTGAACGATGAAGTACCTTGTGAGCAGGATGAAAACTTCTTGGAGGATATTGAGGGAGAAAATGATGATTGTGATGAAGTGATAGATGATCCATTACAGAATACTCGTGAAATAGAGAATTTGATAAAAGGTGCAGATGAAGAGCTTTATCCGGGTTGCAAAACATTTTCAAAGCTATCATTTCTAGTGCATTTATATCACATGAAGGTTCATAATGGATGGACTGCAAAATCTTTCACCATGTTACTTCAGTTGTTACTGCAAGCATTTCCGGAAGGTATTTCCTTACCCAAAACTCATTATGCAGCTAAGAATGTTGTTCAGAAGCTGGGCTTGGATTATGTAAAAATTGAAGCATGTCCGAACGATTGCAGTTTGTATTGGAATTCGACAAAAGATGCTGATTCTTGTTATGTCTGCGAAGAATCTAGATATAAATTTGGAGATATAGATGGCCGCAAGGTGAAAGCAACAAAAGTTTTGCGTTATTTTCCATTAATCCCGAGGTTACAAAGACTATTTGCTTCTGAAAAGACGGCAAAACACATGAGGTGGCATGATGAATGTCGGAAGAAAGATGGGTTGTTACGACATCCGGCCGATGCAGAAGCTTGGAAGGCATTTGATGTTAGACACCCCAGTTTTGCCTCTGATTCACGCAATATCAGATTGGCTCTTAGCAGTGATGGGTTTAGTCCGCATCGAACAATGAGAACAAGCCACAGTACATGGCCTGTGGTGTTGATACCTTATAATATGCCTCCATGGATGTACTTGAAGCAATCTTCTTTCATATTGTCAATGATCATTCCTGGACCCAAAGGTCCAGGAAATGATATTGATGTCTACTTAGAGCCAATGATTGAAGATTTGATTCGACTTTGGGAGGGGGTGACCACTTATGATGCTTCTACAAAGCAGAATTTTAATATGCGTGCTTCTTTAATGTGGACCATAAATGACTTTCCTGCATTTGGTAACTTATCAGGACGGAGCACACATGGCAAATTTGCTTGTCCTGTTTGTTGTGAATCCACATGTTCAAAAAGGTTAGACAAGAGTGGGAAGTTTTGTTATATGGGACATCGTCGTTGGTTAGATGAAGCTCATCCTTTTCGTATTCAGAGTTCTCATTTTGATGGAACATAAGAGTTTAGGACAGCACCAGAGCGGAAGACTGGAAGTGAGGTATTGAGGCATCTAGAAACTAGAGAATTTGTGTATGGGAAGGAAAATAAGAAAAAGAGAAAGAGGGGTCGTCGTCGTCGTCGCATTACAACTACAGTCGATGAACTTCCAGAGTGGGCAAAGTGTTGGAAAAAGAAGAGTATCTTCTTTAGACTGTCTTATTGGGAGCATAATTTATTGCGTCACAACCTTGATGTGATGCATATAGAGAAGAATGTGTGTGATAATCTCATTGGCACTTTGTTAAATCTGGATGGTAAATCCAAGGATAACTTGAATGCTCGTCGTGACTTGGTGGATATGGATATTAGAAGTGAGCTGCATCCTGAACTTTTGGCAAATGGAAGAAATAGACTACCTCCAGCTTTGTTTACAATGAGAAAAGATGAGAAACATGCTCTTTGTGAAGCATTAAAGAGGATGAAAACACCTGATGGTTATGCCTCGAACATATCAAGATGTGTAAACGCAGATGAATGCAAAATCAATGGGCTGAAGAGTCATGATTGTCACATTTTGATCGAGGATATTCTTCCGGTCGTGCTGAGAACTTGTAGTCCATCTATAGAGGTAACTTGTATCGTGGTGGAATTAGCAGCTTTCTTCAAAGGATTATGTGCGAAGGTGTTGACTCTTGCTGATCTTGAAAAGCTTCAAAGTCGGATTGTTTTGACTCTTTGCCACTTGGAGAAGAATTTCTTACCGTCATTTTTTACTATTA